TTTGAAGATGGGTACAGCAATTTCTTTAAAGTTTAAAATACGTGTAGCTCGTAACCAGTAATTCCATGCTTAGGAAAGAAAAATAAAAACATGTTTATAAAACACCTTTGTTTTTGGAACTGGGGATTGAACTTGTGCTTGAAAGGCAGGAGGTGGCACCACTGCATTAAATCCCCAGCCCCTGTAAAATGCCTTTTATAAGAATGTCATGAACAGCAGCCTTAATTGACAATAATTAAAGGCTGCAAGACACCTGTCTGTCAACAGGAAAAATGACAATAAATTGTGTTACAATCATAGAATGGAATACTATTCAGTAATAAAAAGGAACACACTACTAAAATATGCAACCTTCTGCATCTTTAGTGGATCTTCAGCTTCTTTTTCTGCATCTTAGGATATTCATTCTTTGTATGAAGTTGCCATGAGTAGCAGCTTATTCTGGCCATGTGGATAGGATGGGTGAGGTGTTCAGCTACTGACTGATCTCAAGAAGTTACAAGAAGTGGCCTCAGGTGAAATTTGACTGCAATTTGTTAACCTTTTAGCCATCATTATGAGAAGTTAAAGAAAAAAAACCCAGCCTATTTGTCATTCTTACATATTTATTGCTATGAGGGAGGCAATCAAATTTTCCATCCAACAAGCTGTAGTTGTGTGTTATATTCAAATGTATAAGTAATGAGTTCATTGTTTACTGGGTACTTGATATTTTACATGCTTTATAGCAAAGATCTGTACATAACATTCTGTAGCTCAAATCTAGCCCATTATGTAATTTTGTCTTATTGGAACACAGCCAAGAGGGTATGCTTACGGATTTTCCATGGCTTCTTTTGTGTAGGTGTAGTTAAATAGTATGGTCCCTGCCATACTGTTTACTATTTAAGCCTTAGAAGTGACCACGCTGCTCCACATTTCCATTATGTGGAAATCTTGGATTTGTGTGTGTGGGGACTGGGGTGGGGGTCGAACTCAGGACCTTATGCTTGTAAGGCAGGCGGCAGCATCACTGAGATAAACCCCCAGCAATCTTGAATTTTTTAATAGGTAGTTAAGAGTCGTAAATAATTTTGGGTGAAATTACAATTCCGGGATCCTCTAGAATGATCTCTTTTCCAATTTGAATAACAACAGAGTAAGAAATATTTCTACCTGAAAAATTCACTAACTCAGCAGATTTTAGGAGCAGATTAGATCTAGATGACTTTACTTGGACAATCCAGTTAAAGTAGTCAATTTACTCATTACAATTGTATTGATTTTGTGAATGTTTTTCTTTGAATGTCATAAAGTTGTTTATATCTAATGGCAGCACAATTGAAACACTTTTTAAAATGAAGTCTACTTCTGATAGCTATTTCTTTTACTTACAACAAGTTAGAATCCTAGTTAGCGCTGACTAGGCTAGCATTGTTCATGTTTTCTACCGGAACTCTGCCCCGCTCCCTTTTTTTCTGAGAAAATAGCTCAGAGAAGTTAGTTTTGACTTGCCAACGGTCACAGTCCATCGGTTGACAGTTAAATCACAATCCCCACCACCTTTAAACATTTTCAAAGAAGGAGTAACTATGTCATGATTTTTTTGTTTTGTTTTGTTTTTAAATCTCATGAACTTTCTACTGGACCATCACAGTGCTGAGGGAAAAGAAGGCATTGCTGGAGGAGCCAGTGGTAGAAAATAAGAGTAAAATCGATAGGTAAAATCAGGCATGGTTAAAATGCTCAGTTGATTGTTGCTCTATATATGAACTAAATACTGTATTATTAGCCTAATAGGAACAAGACATAGAGGCATCGAATGATTTTTCCAAATAAAATCTTGTTTTACTTGTTCAAGAGTTTATGCATTTTATCAGCTGGCCATAGCGCAGATACAAAGAATGTGAGATTTTGGAAAACACAAATCGGCTCCCTCATTTAATAGAAAAAACTCTACAGCCCAAGGGAGGTCTCAGATAAAGAAACAGCAACGACAACAACAAAACCCCACATTTAAAAGGTTTCTTTCCAACGCAGTGGCCTTTTGGCTTTTTCCAATCTCCGTTTAGAAAAAACAAAAGCAGGGCTCTTCCAGATCTAGCCTAAGGCAATTCGAAATTGGTCTTATTTCCCTTTCCAGTTATATTCAGTTAAAATTGCTCAGTAGCTGTTTACAAGTGCTGCTCTTTTCATAAAAGGTTTAAGGAAGTTCACCAAGGAGACAGAGGCGGGGCGGAAACAAAGCGCCCCTTCTGCACCGCCCCTTCATCCCAGCCAATAGCAGTAGAGGTACAGCGGGCTCGCCGGAGCTCGGGCCAATCGGCTACGTCAGCTGCCGACCCAGCGGAAGGGGCGGGGCAGCCGTTGCCACAGAAGCCACTTGCGGGTTACCAGCTCCTCTTTGTGCCTATGCGCCTTGGTAGGCAGTCTTCGTCGCTAGCTGTCGTAGGAATTCGCCTTCTTCTCACCTGGCGTCCCGTGCCTCTTTCAGGCCTTCCTCCCAAATCTACACCCCCTGCGTCTCGCTCTTTCCTAGTTGACCCAGGGCTGAAGAGCACAGGTACGCTGGCCGAGCTGCCCATCACTACAGCCGGGCGCCGGCCCTGGACCCTCAGGCCCTTTGCACGTCGCAGCGGCGGGCTGACGCCATGGTGACGCGCTGACATCACGGCAACGTGCTGACGCTGCAGGGGAGGCCGAGGTGCGGCTTTAGGCTGAGGAGTCTAAGTGGGTAGTTTAGCTGCGGCCGGGCGTCTGTGAGAGTCTTGAAAGCATGGGGCGGGGCGGATCCCGGAACTGCAAATCCTAGAGTCCACCCTGGCTGGTCCCAGCTCCTTTCTGCTCCTCCCTCCTGTTTCCCCAGGGCGAAGGCGGCAGGAGTGTGGCTCTTGAGACTATGGCAAATCTTCTCGCGAGGTGGGCGTGTCCAGAACAAGTGTCCAAGTATTCGGTGTTCAGAAATTTTGCTTTCTTAACTGTTCTGCGGGTTTTTAAACCCTCACCAGACTACCCGACTGTTCTGTGAGGTATATTCTGGGTAGCCTTTGGTTTCTTCTCCAGGATTCTCCTCAGTGATGGTGAACCTCTGGCACGCGTGCTGCAGTGTAGGCACAGGAACCGAGCATCGCGTGACCGCACATGTGTTGGCACTTTGCCGTAAATAAGCGGATTTTAGGTTGGACTTTGGGTACTCGGTCTCTGAAAGATTTGCCATCACTGCTCTAGACTCCTTAAGAAGACCCCTTTTCCCAGCGTTTGGCAACAGTATCTTGGAAAGCGCTACAGGCTGGCTTGCTTTCGCTTCCAGCTTTGTTATTGAACTGTTGGTGTGATCGTAGGTCACTTAACCTTCCTGGTTTCTGTTTCCTTTTCTATAAAACGGGGACACTAATGTTCACTTTGGAATAGTTACAATAAAAGAGATTAAACGCAGCATCGCATAAGTAACACTGAATAAGTTAGTGTGTGTTGCCTGTTTATTGAGAATAACCGTAACCAGACTGGCGGTGTTCATAAAGTCTATATCAAAGACTGTTCCATATCATCTGATGCTTTGTAATGTTTCAAGTGTTGTGTGAGGTTCTTGGAGTAGTTTTTTTGTTAGTTATGGTTAAAGGAACAGCTACAGAAAGCCCCCTCTCCTTTGGTTCTGGGGATTGAGCTCAGCCCACCCCTTCCCTCCCCTCTTCTCTCTCCCTTTATTTCTTTCTTGACAAGCCTCTGCTGCTAAATTCCCTCAGGTGGGCTCCATCCTCCTCCCTGGGGATCCCACAGTGCCACCACACCCGACTTGTCTGCTTATATCTAAAATTAGTTTGATACTTTTCTGCTTGCAGAAAGAATATGATTATATTTATAGATTTTAAGTTATCAGTATTTTGCTTGTCTTTTTCTTCTGCTACTCCCTCAACTGATGTGTACTAATAGTTTAGGTTTTTGTATCTCAGGCATCCCAAAATTTGAGAAAACGGCTTTGTTTATATTATTTATTATGCTTGACAATAGGTATGAACAAGAATCAGTGATAAGCATACTAGTAAGGTTGAAATAATATCTATCTACTGGGCGGGATTCTGGTGAAAATCAATGATTATTTTCTCCTGGGCTCTGTGTTAATGGTTCTCAATTTATGGCCACCTTAATAATGATTTGCAAAAATTCTGCAAATAATTAGGTCCTGCACAGTTCTTAGCATCTGTAAGCATGATAAAAGCTATAAATAAAGGAGAGAACATAGGCTCAGAGCTCTTAATGGATAGGATGAATATACTGTGTGTGTGTGTGTGTGTGTGTGTGTGTGTGTGTGTGTTTTAACCTATTCATCCCTTGTTTCATCTTGGGGAATTATTAAAAGAAAAATGATTTCTGTTTTAGAATAAAAGCCAGGCTGGTATATGCTGAGGATTTGACTGCAAATTAAACATTGTTTCTTGAGATTCCAGACTACAGAGAGCTAAGTATTTAAACAAATGAATGGATGAAAGGTAAAAACTGTACCAAGTCAGGGGCGGTAATTATTGCAACTGAACAACTCCATGATGATGGCTTTCTTGATTTCTGTGACTTACTCAGAGCATATTCCTTTTTACCCTTTAGGTTTGGCTTTTTATTTGATTTTGTGTATCTGTATATTTTTAATTCTTCTAGACTATAAATAGCTGAAAATACTATTATGCCCTACTAGCAGATATTTTCAGCATTGAAAAGGATCATCTTAGGCTCTTTATAGATTATTTAGCTCTTCATTTTGAATTTCAGTTGCTGATATTTAAAAAATACGAGAAAATATTCATTGGCCTATGTACTAAATATTTGTCTCTGTGAGGTATAGAACCATCAGACAAAAATAAATGCATTTTTACAGATATTTTGGATCTGAATTGCTAATTAAATATTGTAAATAATTTTCAACCTATAATTTCACATGTACCTAATACTGAAAATTCTTGAACGTATGCATTTTAATACAGAAATACAAAATCATAACTATAAAAATATAGAATATTTTAAACACAACCTTTGATATTGTATAAACATAAAATGAAGTTAGGGAGATACATTTCCATATATTATTAGAATTGTGGAAACACAGCCTTAATAGTTGCTGAAGGTCTAACTTCAGGACAATTTTGAAGAAATTCACAAACATTTGTATTTTAAGAGTATCATCTCCAAGTTTGAATGAAAACAGTTAGATTAGTAAAGTTTAGTGGTATTATCATCTGTATTCCTTATCACCACAGAGTATTCTACATTGAGCAGGAAACAGGAATAAATGTCATACTGAAAGACATGATTTCAAAAGAATATCCTGTATTTGTAGCTTTTATTGTCAAATATTTTGAAAAATATGTTGTTTCTATAATTCTAGACATAACTACACTATATAATAATACTTTGGTTTGTGAGGATAATTAATTCCAAAAGACATACTTGTAATCCAAAGCACTTTTCTATCAAAGTGAATTTCCTTAACAGAAATAATGGAAACACAGATGATTCATTCCAAAACCCAAAAGTGCTCATATAAAAACGATTATAAGACTGTAATATACTACAAAATAATAAAGAAAATACAAAATATAAAGAAAAATAAATTAACCTGCAAATAGACCTTCAAAAGGAGACTAGAGAAGAGGGTTATTGTGTAGGACAATTTTCTCTACTGGAATCTTTTGGCTGAATGGAGTCTTTTTCTTTTTGTGAAGCTTTAACAAGAACCCTATCCAATGCCACTTGCTTTTGCCTCCTTTTGAGGATTTCATGGAAATATGACATTGCCTTGTCGTTACACAGATTCATTGCTTTTACTGCAGCAGCCTTATTCTGATGGTGCTTTCCTACAAAATTTTGCACTGTTTCCCATGTTTTACACATCTCCCTAATCTCATTTGAAGTGAGCTCCTCTGCCTTTTTCTCCTCTTCCTCTACAGATGAGATCTCCATAATCTCCGGCTGTTCGGAGCCCATAACCCACAATCCTGCAGGGAGAGAGACAGGGAGGGAGGGAGGGAGGAGATCCGTTGGCTCACTTGTGATCATGTGAGGTTTGGCCCACTATTAGTACTGTGAAAAATCCCTTGTTCATCACATTTCTTGAAGAACACTCACAGAACAAGTTACTCACCATCCAAGGTTTTCCTGTATTTCTTATTTCACTGTTGACCCATGGTTTATATGTCTGTTTTCTAGTCCTACTGGATAAAAATTTTATTGTAATACTCTAAGAAATAGACTAATAAAGATTTCTACATACTTATAACTGTAGAAAATAGCAAATCTTTTGGAAACTTTAGAAATTGGCAATCATTGAGTGATTTTGCTATGCAATTTTGATACTATTCTGTGTTAGTGTAACAATGAGTTATGATTTTCATTTTATCTTTGAAATTTTTTTATATGTCATTAGAATCTTTATCTTGTAAGGGCAGAAAACAAGAATCTACTGAAAGAAGTTTAATAACTGAAATGTTTCTTAAGTTTCAGCTTATGTGGAGTTGTTGAAGCCACCTATAAACCCATTTACTGAATTTATGGAGAAGCCTACAAGTCATGGCAGTCAGTCAGAGGAACTCTCTGCCCATCTTAAAACTACATCAGAGGAAGAACATTTACCACGGAGTGCCAGTGAAAATCACCTCAGCTGGTATTCTCTTCATTGTCCAGGAAAAACTAATCTTCTGATTTGGGGGATTCATATTTTGTCCATAATGTACATTATGAATAAAATATAATCTTTAAAGATGATTTTTTTTCAAATTTAGAATTCATTAAAGTATTTAGTCTGATATAAAAACTGTACTATGCTTAGCAGACATTCACTGGGCTTTTCGACTTAATTAATTAATTAACTAAAAATAACCACATCCATTAAAAGTTTGTAAAGTAAGTCTTCACTGAGTAAATAAGAATATGAATAATATGAAATGTTAGAAATATAGCTGAGTACTAATTCACTGTCAATTGATAAATTGGTATATAACAAATACTTGTTATATTTTATTTCTTTAGAATGGGAAATATATTTGCTACTTATATGCATCATTATTCCCTCAAAAAAGCAATCTTAAAGTATCATTATTATCATTATCTATTGTATAGTCTATTTTCTAGTTTAACTTATTATAAGTGAAAACGATGTTTTGTCAGGGGCCATAAGTATTGGCTTGCTGCCTTCGGCTTTTAATGAGGGCAAGGCATCACTCATCACCGTAATCTTTGACCTTTCACTTTAAGCCAGTGATACTTACTAACAAAATGTACTTTTTGACATAGCTTGTAAGATACCAGTATATTATGATCTGTACAGAAAGAGAAAAGCTGCCAATTAAAGCTATAAAGCTTTCATGTCACTTGGCGTTTTATTCATACTGGGAAAGTTCCTTTAAATATACAGTACAAAGATTTTTAATTCAAATAACTTGCAATTACATAAAAGTAAAATATAAGTGAAATAAAGTATTTTCAAAACTACTCAAAGTCAAACTCTTTTGAGTCCACCCGTATTTTTTTTTTTTTTCCCAGTGCTGGAGATTGAACTTTGAATATTGCCATACATTGTTATTTCACTAACTCCCCTGACTTTTCTCTATACACATTTGTTCCCAGGGTTAAAAGTGTTACACCCCTGTCTCTGAGCTATTCTTCAGAGTTTTGATCACCCCATTCAGTAAATTCTGGGAGTGTGCAGATAGGTCAAGATGCCTTGTGGCTGAGGGCTTGGAGACTCATCTTGAATCATTACACACCTCCGCCAGGTCAGGGAGAGGCCAGGTAAATGTAAACAAGAGCACAGATAGTAGTGGTAAGGCCTGTATTCCAAAGCCACGCCTGGAGGATTTTGAGACATCTGGAAAGCTTTAGTTTTTGTGTTCCATTTGTTTAGCTCATTCATTCTTTTGGAAGAAGTTTTTGTGAAGGACAATAGGTTTCATGCAAAGCTTTGAGAATAAGATCTATAAAGACATATTTTGTTGAATTTGGAGTAAGGGGAAAGGAGGAGAAAAAATATTTGCCTACTTAGTCTTTTTAAACTAGAGAGGGGACATTGAATAATTACCAAACTGCATAGTTAAGCATTGCTAATTGCAGCTTCTGTGTTTTACATATCTTTACATTTTAAAAAACTTATCTTTCCATGTATAGAAAGTGTAGAAAAATTATGGGAGTATAGGAAAAAGTTTACATATTTTCTGTGATAATTCATTATCACATTTTGTGGAGCAATTTATAGAAATGTACTATTTAGTCTATGCTGTATTAACAAAAAGTGTAACTAGTATGTGATAGACTTAATTTAAATTTTATTCGTGCATATGTAATTAGCCTGAAGCAGGACACCCTAAGTGATGAAAAGACTGAATTGGAGGCAACACTTAAGGAAGCTGAGTTGGCAACATGTTCTATAGAATTACTTTTGCCATTATTTAAGAACGCCGTTGAAGAGATTAATTTTGCCAATGTGAGTATTTGACTTATGGCAGTTAATAAAATGCAAAGCTAGAATAACACAGAATACATATTGTAAGTAGGTATGCTTACATGTGAATATTTGATACTAAAAATGGGAAATTATCAGTGTCCTTTATTCCTGTGTCATTTACTATTCTTTCCCTGAAAGATACAGTAATCTCAGACCTGCAGTAAATGAGAAGCTAGGCTGGAAACTGTGTATTTGGGCTCTTGATTTCCCTAGCCTTGAACTAGAGTATCAGCTCTTCCCAGGGGTGAATTTAAATATAAAATTTTCTAAGATAAGACATTTTTGTTTTTATGGTGCTATTTGGAAATAAAACTATTTAAAATTTGAACATACTAAAGTTTGAGTTAGGGACAAAAAAATAAATTGTGTCCTGTAACTTTTATTAAAATAAATACTGTAATACTTTTGGAGTTTAAGCCCCTATTTTTATTTTAATTTAATGCACTATATAACAGATCCTATCTACTATTAGTAAGTTTGGCACAATTTATTATTGCTCTACGCAAAAGAATAGTTTTGTTGCTGGGAAAAGTTACTCTTTTTTTTTTTTTTTTGGTACCGGGG